GTTTGAAATTATTCCTTTTGATAACAATGTCCGGCTAATTTTCATAAAATTATGGTGAACGTAGTTTTAGAAATAAAATAATGAGTGTCGCACAATGAGCTGCGCAACCATAGTCAGTTAAATAGACATTTAATTAGCTATCGCCGTATGTTTGCGACACCAATATTTCTACCAATATATTTCTTCGAGTACAATGACGTACTTTTATTGATAGACTTCGTCAGTTCTTGATAACAAAATACCATTCATCAAAATATATTTTCACAATACGACTATTTATGCTGCTGCGAACAAAAGACCATGAAAAAGACCTTCATGTTCAGCTTTGAAAAAGCTTTAAGCTTTTTTGTCGAATCCTGGACGGTATAGAACTGATATGCTTTTTCTACACAAATATTAAAATGTTAGAACTGATTCAAAATCTATTTGCAAGTTATCATACCAATATTATAAATGCGAAAGTTTAGATGGATGGATGTTTGTTAGAGCTTGTAGCCTAAACAGCTGAACGTATCTTGTTGAAATTTGACATATATGTAGAACATAGTCTAGAAGATCACATAAGCTACTTGCTTTTGTTTTTTTTTAACTCTACGCGGACGGAGTCGCGAACAAAAGCTAGTCTATATGTCTATATCTATACTAATATTATAAAGAGGAAAGATTTGTATTTTTGTATGTATTCAAATAACTCAAAAACTATTGGGCCGATTTTAAGAACTGTTTCACCGTTAGAAAGGTAATTTACTTGTGAGTCACATATGCTATGTTTATTTTAAATTTTTGATATGACGCAGGCGAAGTCGCAAGCAAAAGCTAGTTATTTATATCATTTTTACTTTAACGCCTGTGCTGATGCTAATGCATGTGTAAAATAAAGACAAAAGACTGTTTTAATTACTTTACATAGAACCCGTTCGGAGCAGTGTGTTTTGTTTTTAAAAAAGTTTGCATCTATAATCCAGCGTTAATGAATTATTGCGTCGTATGCAGGTAAATGGCCTTGTCAGGGTCCTCTGGAGCCAGTTTATGGTAACGAAGGCGGTTCGCGTCAGTGAATCGACTGGCCGTCAACGTCCTACTGTAATTTACCTTCATCTAGGGGTGCTTCTTGGAATTAATGTTGCTGTCTTGGCGGGTTTAATACCCGTCGAGATCGATTACATTGCTTGTGGATCAAGTTTATGATCAGAAAGAATTGCACAATCTTTTGGACTTTATTAATGTACAAAATATTAAAGTATTTCTAAATGTTTTAAAGAGAACATATCGTCAAGAGATTAATTTTTAGAGCTTCTAAAGCAAAGCTTACTAACTTAGCGTACTAAAAAGTACCTTTTAAAATTAATGTCACTTCGTTAGTTTATGGCATTTTACTTTAATGTATACTACAAAATATAATAAATTAACCCCATTGTAGAAACAGCAAACATAATATGAAATACTTTCAAACTAAAGTTATTTGTTAACTACTTTAAATTTAATTTCCTTTAAGCACCTGTTGCTGATAATATACAAGATTCAAAAACACCTAATTTAATACAGCTATTAATCTAGATTTAACCTCATAATTTAGGCTAAATTACTATCTAAATAACATAATAAACATAGTGTTGTATTTATAAAAAAGTTCAATCTTTATTTTTTTTCTGAAATGCAACTTTAAAAATGATATCTTCACTGTATAGCGAAGCTTAATGACTGAGCCAATCTTGAGATATATAAATGAGTTTCAAAGTTGAATGATCGGCTCGCTACCCGTCATGCGATGTCGCACTTCTCAGGGTTGATACTTGATATGTTACAACTAATGTTAAACCAGAATAATGTTCTTTTCCTAGAAATTGGTGTAGATTCTATATGACTATGTTTTTGCCTAAGTAGACAGATCTTTCGTTTTTGTGCTAAAGATAAAAACCTTCGTTTTCATTTCCCCGTGACGTTTTATATGCGGCCATAAACAAATTAAAATGTTAAATAATTATGATTTTATTTATGATCAAGATGGCTATCATTATTTCGTCGCCGTGTTTACAAAAAAAATTTTACTAATGACATAAATACGAAAGTTCAGATGGATGGATGTTTGTTAGAGAAGCCTAAACTGCTCAACGGATCTCGATGAAATTTGGCATAAATGTAGTGGAGAGTCTGGAAGAACACATACGTTACTTTTTTTTAATTCCGCGCAGCCTAGTCGCTAGCGCAACAAAGTCAGCTACTGTATCTTTTATTGAAATATTCATGTATAAAACAGTTTATTTTTAATGTGGTAAAGCAACCCTACATAGAGTGCGGCGAGCTTCGCGAGGAATGAACCCGAGCGGTTAAAGCTACGTCGTGGCCTTCGTAAAAAAGTTAAATTACAAAATAAGTATAATACTGGCTCCAATAAAATCAATTGCAGGACCTTTAGCGTTCTTACATGTGAATCATGCAATACTGAGAATTAATACCTCGCTCGTTATCGTTTCGCGAGTACGAAACTCTTTATTTCTTTAGACTTTACACCAGTTATTATGTTTAATGATACATTTGTTCAACGTATCGTAATTTTTATTAACAGATGTAATATTATATCGTAACTGATCTGTCTATTTTTATACGACAAAATAGTAGCGTGATTTTGTGGTTACTAGATGTCTAGTGGTTTTACTGGATTTTCTACATGAAATTTTACTGTTTCTTCAGCAGCCTGTATAAGGTGTCAATTAGCTTCTTCGCCCGCTGATGTTATTCCATTACCCTTGGATTTCCCCGCAACCATTTCGAGTAGACAGAATCTTTATCCTGTCATACTAACTCTTCGTCTGCTAAAATAAACAAATGGAACGAAGTAAGATGTAGTAAGAATGAAACAAAAGAATACTGTAAAGTTATAGAAACCCATTTTTGACCGATTTCCCAAAAGAAGGAAGTACTCAATTCGTGTGTATATTTTTTTGTACAATTTAGCGATTTTTCTGACGCATTTTTTTTCCAGATACTTTTTTTAATTGTAGACCATATAGTTTGTGCCCCATAGTCTGCAAACTTTTGGCTGTATTGTTTTTGAAAGAATTGTATTTATTACTTTATTACTTCCTTTGTCAATAATTTCTGCTGGACACACAATCACTCGTCATTCACCTATAAATTTATTGTCTGTGTGAATTGTATAGTATTAAAAAATCAGGAACTTTACCATAATATCAGTAGTAATACGACCTTACGTAGCAACATGACAATGGCAAGGAAGGAGTTAAAGTAATTCAGTGCGTCAGGTAGTCGAAGTAATTTAAATCTTGCTTCGGTACTCACTAGTTCGCTAATGCGGTCAAATCGTGACCAGGTCGCAATATAAACATACAGCGTACCAGTTCAATCACTTTGTAACTAACTAGCTGTACCCGGCATGCGTTGTAGAAACAAAAATAATCTTAGAGACAGTCAAAATAATGTCAAAAGAGAAAACTTTAATCATCAGTTTAGGATGTTTTTATTTCCATTTTTACAAACATCCTAGCTGATCCCGGCATGTGTTGTATCTTAGACAAGAAGCGTCAAAGGAGCTTTACGTTTGTTTTATTTTTGCCACAAGCCACAAACCTCCTCTGTCTTCCTCAGAATAGCCTACTAAAGGCTCATTAAAATCTGTCCAGTAAATTAGGAACATACAGAGATATAAAAACAAAAAAAAACTGTTTTCAAAGATAACTGAGCATACTACTTACCTACCAAAGTTTCAATACAATTTAATTATTAATAGTTAAGAAACGTACATGACAAACAAAAGTACAAGCATTGTATATATAGATAAATATTAATCAGTAGTCAATGCACTGGTTCTAACGGTGTGCTCTTAATTTATGGACTGAATGTCTGGAAGCCTAACATCCCATGTTAACTCAAGTAGTCGGCGAAAATCATATAAAATTAACATTTTATTGATTCCCCTTACCCTCGTCGTAATAAACTATTCCAAAGCAAACGTGCGTTTGAACCGCACGTTTATGCTCTATAAACAACTTCTCTGTAAGGACTCATTATTCTTCACATTTCTAGAAGACATGACTAGTAGAGAAATATATTAAAAGCTCGTTAAATTGATACTTGAAAATAAAGGTGATATTGTATTAAAAAAAATATGTTAATGATTAATAAATTTGACAAGTTACATATATGTACCAGGGAGTGTGATGAGATAATGTCTTTTAGCTGCAGTGATACGGTACATTTCAGCAGAAGTTCCTAATTCAAATTTCTATTTTTAAATTCACATAATATACCAGCCAGTTCGAAACCGGACTTACCGTTTTATAAATTGACTCGCATCTATTTTAATATGCAATAGTAACAGGCAACACAATCTTTGCAGCATTACCCCGCCCTCGAGGTGCATTTATCTCGATGTACTAACAATCGTTAAAACGTGCTGTAAATTCCAAGTGTGCAATTAAGGCGCTGGGCTCCCTATTTTTAGCCGGTCGAGTGAAGGTGGACTTTTTTCCACGCAACGGGTCCCGAACGGGTTGTGCTGTCGCTCCCAGTTTTTATGTAATAATAATCGTGGTCATATTTGTGACTAACTTACAACTTCGTCTGCAGTGGAGGATGAATTGTCAAAAAACCCGGAATATGTTCAGAATGCAATTATTTCTACTGATAAATGATTTTGGTTGTTTTTAAGTTATTTTTGTTAAAGTTGTCATTGTGGTCCAAAAAAGCTGTGGACAAAACTAGATTCAGAGAACTTACATTGTCTCTATCACATTACGAATATCGTAAAAGCTATTTTTACCAGCTTATAATTGGAAGCAATTTTAAATTTAACTTATCTGTTCGTAATGAAAGCGTATTTAAAATTACTGCGCATAATACGTACGGTGGACAATCATAAATTTAATCTGGTTGAAAATTACTTCAACTGTTTAAGTATACGTACATCCGTTTACCATTAAATATGGCTTGATTATTAAATAAGGGTACATTATCACTTGTTGAATATATTGAATTTTCAGTATCCAACGCCTGCGATGTACAAAAATTCCACAGAAGATATAGACGAAGTTGACAGGGCTACTAATGTCTCTACAGAACATTCTATAAGGTAATATTTTCATTTTATTATTTTACTTTTGTGCCGTATATGGCGACTATGTCAAAGAGTCGATATCGACAGTTTCATGCACTTAGCGCTACTAGATCAGAGAGCCATGCCATACACGGACCAAAGTCTGAAAGCACTAAAACCTTATACTGGCTTAGGCAGTGGACAGCGACTGCTCACAAGTCTATTATTATATTCTTGTTGATAGTTCAAGAGGACAAAAGAGCTGCAAAGAAGCACTACCAGGCACTCTTCCGGCGAGCGCTGCTACTTTGTCTACTGCGTCTCGAGGGCTGCTCGTGCGCTTACTAGAGCGGGACCCCAGGGTGCGCCTGCGCAGCTTGCGGCAGCTGCAACAGTCTGCATTCTATATGAGCTACAATTTCGAACACGTTAAAGCTAAAAAGGTAAGCGATCAGAAATCGAGCGCACGTTCGTCTTGGTTTATTTTTTAATGGATTTTTCTTAGTAGGGTTCTGTAAATAAATTTGTGAAAGTAAAACAATATGACATGGTTAATGATCTTACTAAACGTAGCACACTTGATGGTTTCAGAGTTACCATAGAGCTTATTTGTGCCTTTTTGCTATATTTGTTGGCCGCCTTATAAAATCCTTTGCTGATTTGCTGTAGTTATAATTTTTTTTTACGTCTACGGGTCCCTGTTCTTAGATACCCACTCTTGTCATGTTACTTAGCATGCGTCCAAAGCTTTTCGGTCGGCGTCGGCGACTGTCACAGTGGACGCGACTTGCATCCTATACAAATAAAAAAAGCTGTTAGCGATGTATTTAAAAATAAACTAGTTGCGTGCACACGCGCGTAAAATATCTTTGATGTGATCTTTAAGAACCTGAACTTATAACTAAGGTCATTAACTTTTGATTATTCGATTTCTACTTCCACTTGTAAATAAAATTAGTAATTTTCTTCGGAATTAAGCTAGAGTAAGTCTATTTCATTTTACCGTATTTCATCGTCATCAACTTGCCCTTGCCGCTACGAAGGGTCGGCACATACTGTGCTGCTCTTCCATACACTTCTATCGGTCGTCATATCTAAATGGAGTATTATGTAGTAATTTAGTAGTAAGAATTGAAAATTAGGTTCCAGTTAGGTTCCATACCTTACAGTCACACTGTGTTTCCAATGGATAGCGACGTTAATAACCTTATAATGTTATTCGAAAACAAAGACGTTAATTTTCCTAAACATCTGATAAAACAACACTACTATATATCTCTGAAAGCTCCATTTACGCTAATGGCAGTTTAAATACTTCGCTGATTCATAGAAATTTATCGCTAAAGGTTATTAACGTTTTTGTGCACGCAGGATGCAGATAAATGTTACATTTTTCTTGAAAGATTGTTATCAAAATTTTAAATGACTTAAATATCTTTTTAACGATAGCAAAACTAATGATACTCAAATTATTTAGAAGTTAACTCTTACAAAACGAACGAAATAGAAGGATTCGTAATGAAATAGGTATGTTTGTTAAAATAGTGGTAGGAATATTAGACGAAGTAGGTGATAAAATCAAAGGGGTAATAAAAGGTAAGAAGAGATTTATTTAATTATCTTGTTTCAGGTGTCTCCGAGGTCAATACTGGAAAAAAGTTTTCCTCCAGAAAAAAAATTAGATGATGGCAACATTAACAACTCTAATCATCACTTTCTATCATTCGATCAACAGAATATGGCCGTATAGCACAATTAATATGAGATTAGTCTTATTACATATTATTTGTTTACCATTCTTGTTTCGTACTTTTTATTTACTTTTTCTTTGTTCCGTACTAGCCAAAAATGGATCAGTTCTGTGATTGAAAAAGGAAAACTTGTTAAACATATGTAAACAAGAATTATACTAACATTACCTATTGCATTTATAGTCAGATAGCATTATTTCTAGAATCTTAAGAAAAGTCTCGATATTCTGTCATGAATAATGAGTCATGAGTAGTAAAGATGAAATGTAATCTCAAAGTACTGGATTTTTATTTCATTTAAAAACAAACCAACGCTTTTCAGGTCAAAAATCTAAAATCATTCCGATCAGAAAACTAAAGTTTGTTACAGCGACATCTATCGCACGATACTGGTTTCTAAAATAACTTGACCAGCGCAATACTACATTTATAAAAAATGAGCACTAAAATATCGCAAAATGCACATTAAAAAATTCTGATTTCGGTAAATTGTATAAATAGGTGTTATTAACATTATTTAGTATTAATAACATTAATGTTTATTTATTTAAAAACTATTATTACAGCAATCATGTATATGGCAGCATTTAAATCGATATCAATTTTTTTGGCAACTTTGACATTTGACAAGTGAATTTATCTCGTATTCAGTAAAATTTTCGACTCGTTAAAACACGCAAAATGGCTTCAATCCTGCAAAGGGCAGCAACTTTGTATCTCCAAAATCAAGCACGTGCTGCATCACATGCTGCTACAGCTGGAGGACATGGGGGTAAGTTTTGCAAATAGTAAAATCTGTAAATTATGTAATCATAACCCTTTTCTATGCTTATCTATTTTCAAAATTGTTTTCTACAACACAGTGTCATCTTTGTAATGTACAAATCTTTTTATTAGGTGGCTATAAGCTGTGGAAGAAGTTGACATTCTTCGTCGCATTCCCGGCTGTAGGTCTTGGTATGCTCAATGCTTACTTAGCTCATCAGGAGGAACATCATGAGCGCCCACCATTCATTGCCTATGATTACTTGCGAGTCCGCACCAAGGTAAGATAAAGACAAAAAACCAGAAAGATAATCATTATACATATTAATTCACGAAATAAGTGAGCTAAGGTGAAGTAGTTACAATACAGATTATCTTTTGGATTATACTTTAGTAAACAGAGATAATATTATTCAAAAATGTAATTGTTGCTGTAAATAATTGTTTATGTGTAGCAAATAAACAACTATTTAGATGGTAGTTGTGAAAATATGAATAAAAAAAAAATCTTCATTATTACTAGCTGCTACTACTAACTTTCGCCAGCGACTCCGTCCGCGTGAAACTAAAAAAAACAAAAGTGAATAGCTTATGTGTTTTTTCAGACTATCCGCTATATCTATACCAAATTTCATCAAAACCCATTCAGCTGTTTAGGCTACAAACTCTTAACAAACATGAATCCATCCAACTAAACTTTCACATTTATAATATTAGTAACATAGTAAGATTTCACTGCAATGCAGAAGTGTTGTTTTTTTTTTCAGAGATTCCCATGGGGTGATGGCCAGAAGTCACTGTTCCACAATCCTCATGTCAACGCTCTGCCCTCTGGCTATGAGGATGAGCACTAAATTTTACCAACCAGCTTTAATGTTAGACAATTTATTTGCTGTTTCAATGTGCGTGTAGGTTACAAAATTGTGTACTGTAAGATATTAAAGTGATAAAATATTATCTATTGTGTTTTATTTACATTAGAATTTTGTATCAACGGACAGTTGAATATTGATGTTCATAAATAATAGGTTAGTGCTTAGGTATTGTGGATGCTTAATATTCCCTATTTTAGAAATCAGTCACAAAAAATGCTAGAGAAGTTTATTCTTAAATGTAAAGTTTGTAAAGAAAGGCTACGTTTTGTTTTTGTTAGAAGATTGGTAGAGAAACGACAAACGAAATGATAAAATCAGACTCTTACAAGGAGTCGAGGTGTAGTATATGTCTTGCTGTATACTTCAAGCACATATTTTTTCTTTACGCTTAAAAATATTTATTACTATGAGAGTTGCTGTCATATTGCATTGTTAATCTTTTTTCTAGAACATGAGATATAAATGGGGTTCTACGACATATCACAAAGAAATATAAATTAATTGATTTAATATTTTAGGAAATAAACTATTCGTGAAATGAAACTTAAATAACTTGGTGTTGTGTTGTCTGTCAATGTCATGTTTTGATCTGTCAATATGTCATTCTCGCGTTCATTTTATTTATTGAATAATCAACACAGAGTACTTTGTAACATACTGAAATAGAGACCAATCTTCGGCCTAAAATTGGGTAACACGAAGAAAAGCGCCATCTGTATTTCATA